TGGGTTCGAATCTTACCATGATCAATTTGTGAAGGCAGTGACTTCTTGATAATATCAGCCTGAGGAGACAGTGTCCAAGCGTATAGCGCCATTGACAAATAATACCATTGTGAATGAAACTCTTTAAAACGGATATTCAGTGAAATATATATATATATATATATTTTGTTCCATATAGTCTTAAGATTTGCTATATTTATGGGATAAAAGTTAAATATCAAAATAGAGGCGTGTGTAAATATGAAAGTGAACAAAGATTCAACACTTTATAGACAGTCTGTTTCATGCTAGATGCAATCATGTCGCCTCTAAGTATTTTATATATATATATATATATATATATATATATATATATATATATATATATATATATATATACCTATAAGCCAGACAAACCTACCTAGGTTTCACCTAAACGGATCGTCAGCGAAAGTCTATACGTTTAGGTTTGGCTCACTAGGTGTATCTAGGTCTGCTCTTCTACGGTTGTATTGAGCTCTTTTTGTTGGTTAGTTGTTTACTCGTATCAGGGTTTTTTTCTTTGGGCTTCAGACCTGCATCTGTACGATTTTTTTGTCGACAGAAGTTCATGTTTGTAGCTCTTTCTTTTTTAAAACCTTTTTTCCCTCGAGATTGATTTGATTAGCAAATCAAAAATTCGAGGGTTTTTCGAAAACGAGTTTATCTATCTATATATATATATATATATATATATATATATATATATATATATATATATATATGTGTGTGTGTGTGTGTGTGTGTGTGTGTATGTGAATTATATCCTTCAGGACAAAATCCGACAAGTATTTTATGACATTTTTTATGTTTATACTTTCTTTTTTTATACATACAAATATTTAAGTAAATGCTCTGTTTATGATAAACAGTATTAACGACATAAAGGTCGGTAAATGTCGTTAATACTGTTTATTATAAACTGAGCATTTAGTTAATTATTTGTATCTATAAAAAACGTATAAACATAAAAAATGTTTTAATATATATATATATATATATATATATATATAGAGAGAGAGAGAGAGAGAGAGAGATCTTATAATGCTTGAGAATCTATTCTGTAATATAAAATAATGTATTATTATATTTATCAATTACGTCACCTGATATTCCTTTTTAGTAATGATATTTTCGTTATGGTAATTGACACTGTTACTGAGTAGACGAGATCAGAGTTTTTTTATTTCTGTATTATATATATATATATATATATATATATATATATATATATATATATATATATATATATATGTATGTATATATATATATATATATATATATATATATATATATATAAAATCGAAAAATATAAGCAATAAATTGCTGATACTCCTGAAGAGTTGACGAACAGATACGCGTACGAAACTCTGGAGTCGGTATACTGAAGGTACCATTAATTAGTTAAGTGACAAAATAATTTTACTCATATTATATATATATATATATATATATATATATATATATATATATATATATATGGGGTTGAAAAAAAAGATTGAACAAATTCTATTGAAAAAGGATTACCAAAAGATCTCTTCCTGAACAAAATTAAATAAGAAATCTGGTCTGATTTTTGGAAGTGTGCTGAAAAACTTTCAGGTTCCACGTCGCAATGATAGATAGATAGATAGATAGATAGATAGATAGATAGATAGATAGATAGATAGATAAGTGCAGTACTAGGTGGGCGGCAAGATCTCATTAATTTATAGCCGAAATGACTTGATGCAACCGTAAGTTTTCTGCTAACAGTTTATTCTGTCGCATTTCTCGCATGTGGAACTCTCTCCCGGTTTCTAGCATGCCAGTCACATTTGATAAAAAAATTCAATGCAATGTCAATCGTTATTTTCTGTTTTTCTTATTTCCTGTCCTTTTATTATCCTCTCTCTATAATCATAGTTTTTCTCATATTCTCTCACTTTCAGTATCCTCCTGCGTCCCAGTGGCTTTATTGCCTTTCTGGGGTGAAATGAGTAAAAAAAAAAAAAAAAAATAAATAGATAGATAGATAGATCATCCCGTCTTGGGTCATCATGGTCCGCGTTATCTTGGTTAGTATCTACGTTGATACCTAATTGGTTTCGGGTCGCCACGTAGCCAACAATCACTCCTCCTGTTCGTCTGCCCTCTTTAAAGACGCTCTCTACCCCCGTGATGTCAGCATCATTTCCTTTCCCGTGTCAGATTGGAATCTCCTTTCATTTGACAGAGAAATGAAAATGGAAAATTCTGGCGCAAGCGGTCTATCATTACGTTTGGTCATCTTCAGTTTTTGGCTCGCTAAAAACAAGTTCTCAAATACCTGACATAACCTGTCTGATGAAACTATCTCATGTTTGACTGATTTAAGGTAACAGCTTTTCTTTTTTTTTTTTTTACTGCTGCCTAGGTTGTTAATGAGGAGCGGTTTGTTGACGGATTCAGTCACACGTTTTTTGTCAGTCATCGTAGCATGACAATGAAAAAATATCAATATAGTGAAACGACGAGACAGAATAAAGAAAAATCTCTATCTATCTATCTATTCATCTATCTATCTATCTAGATAGATAGATAGATAGATAAATAGATAGATAGATCATCAATATACCGTGTCCCATCTTGATAAATAAAATCAAGGATCTTCACAACTTCCTAACATTTGTAGCAATAGATAGATAGATAGATAAATAGATATAATATAAACAGGCTGACAGAGAAACAGACTGAGGTAGGTTTAGGTAGGTAGGTAAAGTGGTCGATAGCTAGATAGACTGATATATATATATATATATATATATATATATATATATATAAACCGGCTGAGATAGAAAGATATATATATATACACATATATATGCGTGTGTTTATAAATAGTGTTTATAAACAGAAATAAATATTTATATATATAAATATATATATATATATATATTTATATATATTATAATAATTTTTTTTTTAAAATATAGATTCCTTCGTTATAAAGTTCTCATGTTTTTAAAACGAGCCCGAAATATCCAAATAATTATTAAAATTAATTGGATTGTGAAAAATTTAGTCCGTTTCATCTTCAAGCGAAATTTTAGATAATAATATCTGTCATCTTGTAAAAAGAAATTTTAAGCTTAAAAAATACGTTAAACCCATAGATAGCTTATTCCTAAAATTTCCCTACATGAAGATGAAACGGACCAAACACCACAATCCAAATTGATTTTAATAATTATTTCTAAAATTTCGGCTCGTTTTTGAAACATGAGAACTCTTATGAAGAAGAAGGAATCATATTTTTTAAAAAAAAAAAAAATTATAATATAAGCACTACTTCTGTATGGAGCACTGTCTTCTTAAAAATAAAAACAAAAATACTAAGGAACCACAGATTATGCACCCAATGTGTTCTTTTCTATTTTTCTGCATACCTACGCATATATATATATATATATATATATATATATATATATATGTATATATATATATATATATATATATATATATATATATATATATATATATATATATATATATATATATAAACATACTGAGATAGATAGATAGATAGATAGATAGATAGATAGATAGATAGATAGATAGATAGATAGATGTGTATATTACTCAGCTTATTCGGTTTCAGGACCATAAATGATCTGTCTCATGGGAATCTAAACAGTGTTTGTCCTATGAAACAACCTTAACAATTATCGTGATACAAGGCTTCCAAACGCATCAGTTCCTCCACCTACGGACATAAATAATAAAAAAATAAAATAAAAATACTCACACACCTTATCTAACTACCTCCGCCTTGCCTACTGACTTATTTATGAATGAAATACAAATCGGTACATAATAAAGATATTGTACATATCTGGGCCTATAACCCTCAATAGTCTTACTTAAACTGGTAACACTACGGGCAATGCATGTATGTATCTTTTTATGTGTAGTGGTTGTCTTTTTTTGCCATATTTGGACTCGTAGTGTGTTTGACAATCTAATGGCTCTAGTAAGAAAAAACAACGACAAACATCAACCTTCGACCTTCCCATTACCTCTCTAGACTCTTTCTTTTAGTCTTTAGCTTAACTGACTTTATTAGAGTTGAGCTGTTAACGGTATTTTTGCAACCCAATGCGAGCCTGAGGAGATGGTATCAAGTCGCATTTATTTTTAATGTTTTCCGACCCGACCCATTCCGAGTTTTTATTTCAATTTCCATAAAGTAACGAACGTCAGTAACTAAAAAATGCGTTGACACCCAAATTGGTAGTAGAAGAAAAAAATCAAATAAACGTTTACACATAAACACGCGCATGCGCAATACACCCACACTTAGAATTACAATTTTTTTCCCTTAATTTACGCCTAGGAAAGATCCTTTTTAAAGAGGAAAAAAAGTGATAGAAAGGGAGAGCGAAAAGGAATAGTTTAATAGTTTTAAAAACTCCTCGCGTGGGCAGACGAAGTATTTCTCTATTTAGTATTGTTCACAGCAACCCTGAAAACTGACCAATCAGCTTAGAGTTTTGGTGTCACGTGAACGAGAGGTGACTCATGAAAAAGGAAAAAAAAAAAAAAAAAAAACTACTTCCATCACCAAAAAGGGACGTATAAATAAATTCTTTATAAAAAAAAAAAAAGAAGAAGAAAATGTAATAATAAAGCATAAAAAAATAAAGTAAGCAAGAAAGATAATAGAGGGGAGGAAGAAAGAAGAGAAAAAACTGTTCGTGTGTAAGAGAGAGAGAGAGAGAGAGAGAGAGAGAGAGAAAGAAAGAAAGAAAGAAAGAAAGAAAGAAAGAAAGAAAGAAAGAGAGAGAGAGAGGCAGTTTTACTTTAATTCGTCATCCCCCACCACAACTACAACTGCCGCTGCTGCTGCCTATCGCTGTGGTCACTTCTATATAAACTTTTATTTTCTTCAGACGTCGCCTTTTGTTGCTGTTTGAGTTTTGAGCAGTTTCTTTTTGTGGACAGCTATTGAAAGAGAAAAAAAAATGCACCGAGCTACGAAATCTGGACTTGGAGCAGAAGCTCATGCTAAAGTAAGTGGAAATTTATATAGTCATGTAATTTACCTTATTTTTCTTTAAGCAATATTTTTAAAATTTTCAGTAAAATGTTAGTTTGGCTGGAGATTTCAGCTTATTTTTTTGTGTGCGCAGTTAAAATTAAATAATATTACGTCTTCACAATGCTTCAGTGGTCTTTATTTTACCTGTTTCGATAATTGCTAAAAATCTCGGTGAAGTATCTAAACTACTTAAACATGCGCACTTACGTTGGTAATAAGTAACTTTATCTCAGCTTCGATTTTGCTTAAACTCCCAGTGACAAACAAAGTTTAATCATAAGCAACACAAAATCAGATAAATCCTTTTGAAAACGTCCAACTTAGTTTTAACATTATCACTTGGGACTTAACAGATGTTTTTACTTCCTGACAAGGAACTGCGTACTTTCTGAATGTCTCCCGTCAGCACCTCCGTTGCACTGGCGGGAAAGGATCAGCTTTTACTTTTTTTAGTTATTTAATTAACTCTAGTAAAATTTATCAAAAAAACTTAATACATCTTACTTTTTTTTTCACACAAAAAAAAAAAATTTCATATACATCACCCACACTATTTAATTTTTGCTGGCACACGCCACAACATCAAAAACGTCTGTACCGTTCTCCACCTCCTCCAAAGTAAATATTGTTTGATACATCGCGACCCTTGACATTAATTCCATACAATATTTGACTGAAAACATTTCTAACCTGTTTAACCTTAAAGGCTCTTGTAACAAGAGATGCAGTACCTGATTTTAAACTCCAGATCTAAGCTATGAATAACACTATTTAATCATAATGAAACACTTTGTGGTCAGTGTCTTTTTAGCGGAAAACTACACTTAATGCTTCCTGTATCGCATATTTGTACAGGTACAGGATTTTTTTTTTTTTTTTTTTTTTTTGTACTTTCTCACGGCTCAACACATACTGCATATTATGCCATGTCTCTCACAATCGGAATCTTATTCAATATTTACGCTGGAAACTGTCACATTCGACGGAGAGCATGCTGTGGGTGTACATTCAACTATTAAGCTCGCTGTCGAATCTTATATCAGTTACTCATTACTGCGAACGGTTTTGAGATTCACGTTTTCGTCATGTCACAAATCTCCGTACTGACCATCATAGTACTAACTAAAGTTCAAAGCCACGACGACATGTTCCTTGATATATTATGAACGTACTTGAACTATTAAACCAGCTGGTATAACTTTCCAAGTATCTTAGTTTAAACCTTTAAAATGGTAGTCAGATGCACTTATTTAACTGTTTGATCGACGTGATGCTGACTATTCGCTTATTAACTTTTGGTTTACTATATTCGGTGTTTCCTTTTGTCATCAGATAAATAGAAAAGTTTTCTGAAGTAGGTAGGATTGTCGTTACTTACTGACTTCATTTCTCCGCTTAAATCTTGAAATACCGTGAAACTTTGGCACTTATGTCGTCCCCTGCATCAAACTAATTTATGCTTATAAACCTCGCATGCACTGTCGCGTAAAACAATGAATTTTAAATCGGAACCGCCAAATTAACCGACTAAGCTGACTCGATCAGGTTTGAGGCAATTTCTCAGGATGTCGAAAAAATAAGATTTTCTCAAATCAAGTAAAATTTTTTCTCTGCTATCCTGATTTTTCTTTTATCAGAAATTTCTGTTTAAGATACGCTGATTGAAGTCTGAAGTCCTGACTTGTTCTTTAGATTTTAGAAATATGCCTGTCCAAAGCAGTAGTCTTAAATGAATACTGACTATTGTTACATCAACTAAAATCTTATCTTACAACTTCCGCTTACTTTCCTATGAACCAATATCAAGCATGACATCATATCTGGAATTTTTATTCTTAAGCTTTTAACTCTTGATACTTACTCAAGAATTTTTCTAATTGATGTGCTGTGCTCTGTGAGTCTAGTTCAATTAACATCTGACGACGTGATGATGGCCACTGCTACTTTGCGTCGCCAGGGCAAAGACATAACTCTTTTTTACAGCAAAGTGTGTGTGTATATATATATATATATATATATATATATATATATATATATATATATATATATCTCGACAAATGTCTTTAAACAAGATTTACAATGGACATAGACATTAACATTTGTGTGTGAACGCAAAGAGTTTGTATTTGGTGAATAGACGTATGTACATGCATGTGATGTTTCATGGCGTTTTCCCACAAGTGGCCGAAAACGCGGATTTCTGTGAGATCACATTTTTAAATGTCGACGCTGAAATGTAAATTAGAAAGAGAACGAAGTGATAAGTCGCCCACTATTTAGAGAGCGTGCCCTAGTGAAATATTCGGACAATTAAGTCGGAGTTAACTCCGAGATATGTGTATGTTCATGGAGTCTGCATCGAAATGCTTATTTCCATAGAAACTTACAAGGAAAGCTATAACACAGTTGGATATACATCTACAATGTTTTTGTTACATACGTCATTGCATTTTTTTTGTTTACCTGTCATCCGGTTTACACTCCTCTCCGATTTTTTTACTACGAGTAGGGATTTAACACTCGCTTCCTGTTTATAATTGTTTCCGGTTCCTGAAGTCTTATTCATTCACTGTGCCTTGGTGGCATTATCACTTTGCTTGGGTGACTTGATTTGGAAAAAAAAAAAAAAAAAATGCTACATTGGTTTAAAAAACAAAAGCAAACCTGCTCTGTAACAGCGGAGGCGATCTACTTAAAAACATCCATTGTAGCGAAATTTACACATTGCCTAACTATGCTTTCATTCCCTGTTTCGTTTCCACAAACGTTCAGAAAGCGCCGTTAAATATTTATGGATATGTTTAACGTCATGCATCTGCAGCTACGCATGTTATGATAGACGCCATTAGCTTGACTGTTGCTAAGCTTTATGTAATGACTGTTACGGCTTAGTGGCGGGAATACCTACTCTTCTGTCTGACATTCAAACTAATGAATGATCTTTTATTCAAGGCACAATGTTTGTTGTGGTGTAATGGATCACTGCTCCGAGTGCGAACTCGAAGAGCCGAGTTCGAATTCCACTAGAGTTCGATATATTCACTTACGCGCTAATGCCCTTGTGAAAGGTATGAATCCATCTCTTCTCCCCCAGCTATGGGTTAAATAGGACACTGATTTACTTAGACTTGGTTGGCAACCAGTCTACCACAGAAAGAAATGACGACCTACTGCTGGAAAATAACTGCCTCGTCAGTCATATATTGTAAGATACGTGTATCGCGTATGGCACTTGACTGATTCAGGGCATAATTCCAGTGATAAGTGTTTTGGCAGGTGGTTCAGGCCTCCGAGCACAAACTCTTTGTTGAAGATTCCTCATTACCTGCAGTACATCTCGACCCTACTCTCTAAAAGGTTCTCAAGACTTTCATTTCATGGGTTGGAGATCTCTTGGAGCAGCAGCTTAAGAGGCCTGGGGCCCAGTTAAATGTTCCCTCCGTCCTATCTCGTTAAAACTCATCCGGTGCTATTTTTCCTGGGCTTTCTGTAAATTCCTTAAAATTTTCTACGAATGTGTCTGGCATATCACTTACTACATAAACAGGTTTTAATAACCTCTCCGTCCGCTCGCTAACTTAAAATTACCGTTTCTAGTGTTCGTTTACTTGAAAGCTTGGCAACTGAAGCTTCGGTAATTAAACCTGCCTAATAAATTTTCACGTGATGCAGTGATCTTTCTAGGTCGTGTCCACTGTGACGAAAGCAATTGTCGATTCATATTACAATCAATAAAAATTGCAGAATAAAAGAATCGATAGCTTTTTGGCCTAAAATAGCATCAGCTGTTGCAGTTGTACTTCCTTGTGAAGGTATGTGTACTCGTTAAAAATATTTGGACTCTAATTTTTTCTTTTTTTCAGAATTGTGTACTCACCCCCAGCTCGAGCCAATATAAGAATTAACTTATTCTAGAAAGTGTGGAACCTAATATTTACTAGGCGATTAATGTGGATTCTATTTTCTTCAATCGTCGTATGGTCAGACTTGGTCTGAATTTGGTTTTTAGTTTCTTTACTGTCGCATTAAAGAGTTTTTGTTTTGTTTTTTTAATGTCTCTGCGCCTTATGCAATGTTAAGTTTTGGTTAGATAACCCGAATGAGGTGACTGCAAACCTAGGCTTGCAAAAATTAACGACATCCAACCACCACAAATGGAAAATTTATATAATGAGATGGTACTCAAATACCAGGCTAGTATCTTTCTCCCCCTGCGTAGGTCAGTGCCGGTGCGTACTATCCCGAAAAATGACCTTGGTATTTTATCAATATTTGTATATTTTTCTCTACATACTTATGTACGTTACAAATTATGAAACTAGACACAAATATATTAAACATAAATATTTTTGAATTTTGACGATGTTTTCCTTCCCTCTGTGTGTCTCTCTCTCAATTACCCCCCCACCTCTGTGTGTGTGTCTCTCTCTCTCTCAATTACACCCCAGTAAAGCAACTAAGAACAAAGGGTTACTGGCTGTGAAAAAAAAACATAGAAAACTGAAACATATCGAGAACAATAGAATAATCAGGAAGACGGACAATGATTAATATTGCATTTAAATTTTTAGAGATCAAATTTGGCCAGAAAACGTGTTCCCGGGGTAGTTCTACGAGCGAGAAAAGAAACCGTAGCATAGGATTTACGGTTGCATCTAACCAATTCAACTGTAGATTGAGACCTTGTTGCCAGTCTAGTACGGCGCTTAAATTCCTAGTCAGGATATCATAGCGATGTGCTCATCCGAACAATTACCATGACAACAGTTAACAAGAAAAATCTGCAGTTGATGTTAAATGCTTAAAAACCTTGATTTTAAGATGGAATGATCTATGGATTTGTTTCTAATTTGTATTTAGATAAATTGTATTCATCAATTTTTTTTTTTTTTTTTACATAATTAGGTTACAATAAAATGCGTTTTATATGAAAACTGCCCCATGAAAATTGTGATGCAGTAAAGTGGGGGA